GATATGCACAGTGACATGTCTTCTGGCATATGCACTATACAATCTTTTGATTTTTGTTCTTTGTATGTAAGCGTGACACCGAACCGCTTTTTCAGCCACATCTTTCACACAATTTGGCCACACCAAGTTTTTGCTGCAGCGCATGCTACTTTCCTATCATCCTATAAACCAGGGGTGGGCCACTCGGTTCCTCCTGCTGCTGTGGAACTACAAGTCCAATGAAGAGTTGCCCACCCCTGCTGTAAACTGTTCTACCATGTTGACACCTCTGCAGAACTACATTTTAAAAAAATGTACAGTTAAGGTACAGTTTTCTCGACAGAAGAGACATGCAAGGTCAACTTCCTATGGCTCCAAACTTTCATTTCGTCTATACTGCCTGCAGCACACGTGCAGTGCAATGTACCGTACTAGCTCATCTGAATGCACAGGAGTTACATCTGGGGCCAGCAAACAAAGGCACAAGTGCCACAGAGGGCACGCAAAGCCATTTTCAGTAACAGTCAGAAGATCAATAATCATGTCTACAAAATTATTTGATATTTCCTATTAAAACAAGTAGTTTGTGAAATATTATCTAGTGCAGGGGTTGGCAACTTTCACACTCCAGCTGTGGTGGAACTACAAATCCCATGAGGCATTGCAAGACTCTGATAACCCAGGACATGACTCCCAGAGATAGAGGCATGATGGTATTTGTGGTTTCACCACAGCTGGATGTTGCCTACCGTTCTAGAGTAGTGAGTATACCGGGCACATATCTGTTTAAGAAATGTGGTCTTTGAATTCATCTCTGCATTTGGTTACATATGTTTGCAAACAGATTTTTTCACACCTAATACAGTGTTAAGTCTCTCCGAAAGCTGAGTTACAACATATAATTTAGAAGCACATATTCAGCTGAAATTAACATCTTATTATTATAATTATTATGGATTTATACAGCACCAACAATTGGTACAGCACATTACAAAATAAAGGGAGACAGTTAAGTAACAATACAATTCAATACAGGAGGATTAGGAGGTATCCACCCAAAGCCCTGAAGTAAGGGAACAATAATATTACTAGTCATCCTAAAGTATTTTAGTGGTGAGCCAATCGGTAAGCTGATTGATCCACTTTTGCATGTTTGATTAACTTTTTTTTTCACTCAAGAAGATTTTTCTCATATGTAGAGAGATGCACTATGTGCGATTACAAGTGGAGTTTGTCCCTGCATTTGAATTTATCGCCCGTCAAGTTGTTTAGACTGATATCGTATTGCACTTATAAGTTTCGTTTGGATTGACATTTGTTTTATGTTACAAGTTTTTCATGTGTTAGGCCTCGTTCACACCAGATGCAGTGTGTTCTGGCCCGATTCTGGCCAGAACACACTGCCTCGCATTGCGGCCGGCTCACTTTTTTGTGGGGCAGGAGGGGCCGTGGCGGGCCATTGAAGTGAATGGCACCGTAGCCATGCCCTCCCAGTCGGGGCTCCCTGGTGGTTAGTGGGGGATCCCTGGATTAGGGTGAGCCTTTATCTAGAGCAGCAGCTAACGATTATTTTCAAAATCGATTAGTTAGCCGCATTTTAAAGCTTGACATCTTTATCCATTGTTCTCCCAGGTTCCGCATCTTTGACCATCTTGATTGGCCAGCCCGGGATAACGCAACTTCAAAACATGGGTACTGGAAATAATTAAGCCTGACCCCACGGCATGCTGAGAATAAACCCATGCAGGACATGCGTGGCTCAGTGTACATTTTAGAGATACATTGCTTCAAAGTGTATCTAAACTAAAATCTTTGTTGTTTCTGCACGTGTCCTGAAAGGAAATCTGTCCAAAGTGAGGGAAATATGACACTCGTATCACTAGAACAGATGTTCCTATTGGAAGGTTTCTCCTCTTCTGCTCCAGTGGCAACTGTAAAAGTTTGGATTTCCCATGATGTTCAATGGTTTGAAGGACACCCGAAGGCAAATCTCCCAAATCACACAGACAGAAATAAACCTCTAACAGGGGATCTGACCCTTCCTCACTCCATCCTAAGCAAAAAGAAGTGCTTTAAAGAAGAACTATGGGCAACATGTTTATTAACTCTTGCAGTGGGGCTACCCTGGACTGCAAGGGTGAACTGCTCATTTTCATCTAGATGCTAAAATAAAAAGGTTGTACTCACCTGATCCTCGGATCCTCCTTGTTCTTAGACTGGTGCCTGCAGCATCTCTCCTCCTACGCTGCAGCAATAGTATGTCCCTTGGAGTCCTCACATCCTATACACAGTGTATTGGACAGGATGACTCGAGGAACCTTGGACTGCTGTGGCAGAGGGGGTGAGATGCTGTAAGGCCCTAAGAGAAAGCTGTCTCGGAGGATCGGGTGAGTCTAACTTTATTTTTGCACCTAGGTACAAACGAGCAGTTAACCCTTGCAGTGCAGGGGTAGCACCTCTGCAAGGGTTATGAAAAGTTATGCCCAGTGTTCTTTTTTAATACTCCAGGATAAGCAAATATAGCCTAAATACAAGAGTCATGTGTATTCTTATTTGAATCTTGGTGTGCTTTGTATATTTCTTACAGATGTGTGCAATAATCCAGTGTGAAATTTTGCCTCTGTGCTTGAGCTTCCTGTAATAAAGTCCAATCACTGCTGCTCTCTCTCTCCTTGTGAAGGGTGACTGGTCTTGTCTCCACCCTCTCCTGTAGTTTACTGCAGGCAGTCTGTAGAGCAGGGGTCTCAAACCTCCGGCCCTCCAGCTGTGGTGAAACTACAAATCCCATGATGCATCTTTCTTCAGGAGTCATGTCTGTGGCTGTGAGAATCTTGCAATGCCTCATGGGATTTGTAGTTCCACCACAGCTGGAGGGCCGGAGGTTTGAGACCCCTGCTGTAGAGGATAGAGCCTGCTAGGTTGCTCCTACAGCTCTGCAGTATGCACAGGCTATGTACAGCCCAGGGCTGTTGTCACTATTGGCTATTGCATTCCTCAATTGGCTATTGAGGAATGCATTGCAATAAAAACTGTGTCTGGATTTCAGCCTTAAATCTGAACTCCAGGATAAGCTAATATTGTCTAAATATAAGAGGGATGTGTAATCGTGCTTCAAACTTGGTGTGCATTCTACATTTCTTCCAGTTCTATACAGATTTGCGCCCCCTCCTGTAGTTTGTGGAGTCTCCTCTCTGCACAGGCTATGTACAGCACAGTGATGATGTCACTGCTACATTTATATGGTAACATCTGCATTTACAAAATCATTTGGTACACACAAAGTGGATCCATAGAAAGTAGGGATGTCCCCATACTAGTATCGGTATAGGGACCAATACAGGGCATTTTCAGGGGTACTTGTACTCCTGAAAATGCCCTGATACTAAAGCCGTATAGCGGCCCTTTAAATGTTTTCATCGGGTCGGCTGTCAAGGTCACACTCTTGCGGGGCCTGAGGCAGCCTTCCGGGGACCTGGCAGTAGCTGTCTTTGACACTGCCTGCCAGGTCCCACATCTCCATCTCCGCAGAGCTCGAGGCATCCCCACACTGCAAATACAGCCTTGGAGCGGGCACATGACTGGCACCCGCTCCGTCCGGCTCACTACACTCCAGCCCAGCACCTGTCCACAGAGCCGTGAAGAGACCCATCGGCAGCCCTGCTGACATGTATGCAGCGCTGAAGAGACCCATAGGCAGCCCTGCTGACATGTATGCAGCGATGGAGAGATCCAATAGGCAGCCCTGGTGACATCTGTATGCAGCCCTGGAGAGACTCATTGGCAGCCCTGGTGACATCTGGACGCAGCCTGGTGACATCTGGACACAGCCTGGTGACATCTGGACCCAGCCTGGTGACATCTGGACGCAGCCTGGTGACGCATCTGGACGCAGCCTGGTGACGCATCTGGACGCAGCCTGGTGACGCATCTGGACGCAGCCTGGTGAAATCGGTACACAGCCTGGTGACATCTGGATGCAGCCTGGTGACATCTGTACACAACCTGGTGACATCTGTACACAACCTGGTGACATCTGGATGCAGCCTTGTGAAGCATCTGAAAGCAGCCTAGTGACATCTGGAGGCAACCTTGTGCATCTGAACGCATCCTGGTGATGCATCTGTATTTAGCTCTGGTGAGATCTGTACTCGGCTCTGGCGAGGTCTGTATTCAGCTCTGCGGAGATCTGTATTCAGCTCTGGGGAGATCTGTATTCAGCTCTGGGGAGATCTGTACGCAGCCTGGTGAGAAACTGCCCTAAAATCATTAGTCTGTATTGTTTTATAAAATATGTCACATGCCCCTTTAAGGAAAAGTATCAACAATTGGTATCTGCAAGTATCTGAGGGAAAGTACTTGTACTTGGTCTTGAAAAAGTGGTATCGGGACATCCCTAATAGAAATATATTTCAATAAAAATGTTGTTCCCGGAGTTCAGCTTTAATATAACACTGACAATATCATATCTTCCAATTTCCTGAGACACGAAAGAGGGAAGCCTTACAGAAAAAAAGTATATGAACAAAGGACACACCAAGCCCTCCAATGATGCCGATTACAAAACATTAATATGCAAATGGTAATTTGTTACATTAATGTATATTAGAAATACAATAATTGTTTATTTTCCATCACTTATTTTGCTTTATACTGGCGTTTTAAAATAAGAACTACAATAATTCAGAGGTGGGTGTAGTAAAACACTTTTGATCGATTAAAGATACACTTTTTAATTGACATATATATATACATTGGTCAATAAAGAGGGACATCTGAAGAGGAAAGACGGACATCTAAGGAGAAAAGAAGAATTTTGTATCCAGATCCGGACAGTTCCTCTAAATTAGGGACAGTTGCAAGATTTGCAATTGCAATCGCACTGTCCGTTGAAGCTTTGTATTTTGTTTAAAACTAATAAAGTTACGCGAAAGAAAAAAAAGAAATCCAGGAAGGTTGGCGGTAAGGGTGGCACCTAACCTGACGGCTTCTGGCCCTGCGTGACGTCACGGCGCCGCTGTCAGAGAGGCAGGAGACCCGCCCAGAGGGCCCAGTACAGCATCCCGGGCATTCTGCACTTCTTGCAGCATGAGTGGGCCCGGTTCGAGGTGGAGAGAGCTCAGTGGGAGGTGGAGCGAGCTGAGCTGCAGGTAATAACAACAACGGGGATCTGTCAGTGCTGGGGGATCAGCATTCATTAGATATGCATAGTACATTGGGCATGGGAGTCCTCATACCCCTAGGATTGTTGTGTACAGTCTGTATGTTGATGCAGATCTTAACTCAAATTTGTATTTTATGCAGATGGTGAAATGATTTTGGCTAAACCTTAAAAATGCATTCAAGTGACTTAACAAAAATGTCTCTTATTTGTGTATCACTCATAGAGCTGCAGCTAACGATTATTTTCGAAATCGATTAGTTAGCCGATTATTAAGTTCGGTTAATCGGATAAACAATAAAATACATTTTAAAAAATAGCTCCAGTGATGGACTACTAGTTTGTATTGAGATTGCACTCCATCACAGGAGCAAGCTTGGAGCGGTGGAAGAAAAAAAAGTAAAAAAGAAGAAAAATAGTGCGGTGTGCAATATAGTGAAAATGAAAGTGTAAATTTATACAGCAATGAATGCAGAATGGCACCGACTATAGAGAAATACAAATCCCAGCAATAGTACATTATACACCGCAATGTAGAATATCACCAGCTATAGAGGGCTACAACAAGTCCCAGCAATAGTACATTATAGCTGGCGGTATTCTGCATTGCGCTGTATAATGTACAATTGCTGGGTTTTGTAGTCCTCTATAGCTGGTGGTATTCTGCATTGCACTGTATAATGTACTATTGCTAGGTTTTGTAGTCCTCTATAGCTGGTGGTAATCGGCATTGCATCACTGTATAATGTATTATTGCTGGGATTTGTAGTCCTCTATAGATGATTGTGCATTGCTCTGTATAATATACAATGTACCATCATCTATAGAGGAATACAAATCCCAGCAATACATTATAAAGCTCCATGTGCGGGGGAGGGAAGTGCAGGCTTACCTGAGCAGTCTTCCAGCAACTTGCTTCTGAGATCGGACCTGTCTATCAGCGGCTGTCATCCCCCCACACCTGTTCCTCCTTACTACATCTCCCCGCGTCCCTGTGCCGATCGTGGATGTGGGTGGGAGGTGAGTGTGAGGCGGGGAGAAGGTGCGGCGTGAAGAGCGTGTGTGGAGCCGCGAACAGGGCCAACTGATCGGAAGCCGATTAATCGATTATTGAAAAAGTTGACAACTTTTTCAATAATCTATTATAATCGATTATGTCGATTAGTTGTTGCAGTCCTAATCACTCAGCTGTAGATCCCCAAATCATCTCTGAATCCCTGTGTGTGTTGTAAAGTAGCCACCGCTCCAAGCTCAATCTCAATACAAATTAGTAAACTAATGAGATGTAGTCTGCCACGGGAAGGAACTTGGAGCGGTGGCTACTTTATCTCACACACAGGGACCATGGGGAACAAAAGTAGCCACCCTCCAGAAGGAAGGACGGTGTCGGCACCAATTCAGAGATGATTTGAGGATCTACAGCTGAGTTATGCACAAATAAGATACATTTTTGTTAATAGTTAAGGTACTTGAAGGTATTTTTAAGATTTAACTCCTGAGCTAAGTGTCACTTTAAAAAACACTGCACAGTTTTAAAAAGATTGTATACCTGTCGGCCACATGCCTCCTAGGTAGACCACTCCAAACCCTGCGCTCCGTTTAACACCCGACATTAGAAGTGCACCTCCAGTACCGCAGGAATAAGCGCTATGGATAATTCAAAACCTGCTCATGTGCAGCATGCTCCCTCTCTCATTCTGTTGCAGCGGCGGCTAAGCTCAAGAGCGACAGAGGGAGGGAAAGTGCATGCGTGGGGTTTTGGATGAGCATGAGTACCCCTTGTTGCAAAGCTGGGGTTGCTCTTCCAACGTCCAAATTGTCCTGCCATCTAGGCATGACTTGTGGAGAAAGGCAGGGTCACCTACCTAGGTGTTTTGTGGACAGACTTGCAGGGAGGACATGCACGGACTACAGGTATGACATTGCAAAGAATCTTCTTTTTAAAAACTGTGCAGTGTTTTTCAATGAACTTGAGATGCTGGAATGCATGGGAAATGTTATGGTGAACTCGCCCTTTAAAGATCTATAAACTCTTAAATACAGTTATAAAATGTTAGTGCAGCTCATTAGATCTTGTGAGGCTCATGATTCTGCACTGCAGTGTTGCTTTTCTTCGATTTGCATCTTTTGATCCTGCCAGTGTTTGTGACTTCCTGTACTGGGTGACAGCGTGCTGCCCTACTGTTCATTTATAAAGGTTCAGTATTCCCAGCTCAGGATGTGTGCTCTTGTTGCATTACAAGCACAGCGTGCTGGCACGCTCATTCTAATTTCTTACTGAGGCTCTGTCATGGTGTCAAGACCGCCCATAGAGAAGCCATGATGAGCTGACGTGTACTCATGCACAAGCCAGAAGTCGGCCTCCAGAGCTGAAGCAACATGCACAGACTACCATTGAAGAAAGAAGTAAATTCTGAAAACAATTAAAATAAACCAAATGGGTCATTATTTTAATTATTTTTAAGGTTTAATTTGACCCTTTTGACCATGTTTCATATTACAGCCATAATTAAAGTGACCTGAAATATGGTTACAGTTCCAACCTCCCACCCCAAACTGCCCCCTTATGTGAATTGCAGAATTCTCCTGCCTGCAGGCTGCTGTATACATTTGCATTTGGTGTAGTTGTTTGTGGCTCCGCTCATCCACCATGGGATTTGTAGATCTCTGTTGAGCACAGTTGCGGTTATGTAACTGCACTTGTAGTCCATTGATTACCTCCTTCAACCCCATAACAGAAGGCCTGTATGGTATGGACCCGGGCTGGAGGAACAGTCTGTGGGAGCCTGGGCATTGTACTCATGATGCATTGATCACATTTGCAATTCTTTGCACATTTATCAATGTGGGTACATTTATCGTTTTTTTTTTTTACAAAAGGACTATGCCTTTTAAAACCCTTTTTTATTTTTTTTGTGTAAATATTCAATTTTTATTGAAGCACAAGATTTTAAGTACATATTAAGTACAATAGCAGGTGCAGTCAGCAAGCTATAAGGATATACATAAAAAGTTGAAACCTTATTTTCATCAGAGGACTGTTATATGTTAGAGACCCAGCCACCCCAGTAGGCAAGTTCCAGTAAACACAGGCCCAATAAGCAAACTAGCAACTCACAGAAGACCCTTTTGATTCTCCAATTAAAAGGAAACCGTGCCCAGTCTATGAACTTTAAAGTATTTGCTTATTATGAACGAGCAGTAAAAACTCTTTAAAACAGGCCGCAGTCAGCCCTGTACCTGTAGGCATTTTGGAGAAATTAATATTCAAAATGTACAACATGGGCACTGAAATTGCAGCTTCTCGCTTATTTTCAGCAGAAACGTGGAGGCCTGCCAGCACTCTAATGTAAACAAACAGCAGTGTGCTTGTAAGCACATTGAAACTAATGGGCCCCTGTCATGTTGGTGAGAATTTGCCAGTGATTTGATAGTGATGCAAGACACAGCAGGGTAGTAGGCACACACCTGTCTGTATGTCTCTCCTTCACCGGATGAATGATCAAGGCGTCACCCTCTCACTGACGACTTCAATTTTGCAGCATTTTAACCAGCAAAGGAGCGCTGTGTTGCTTTTCCAGCCCGTGAGGGAGCGACATCTACGAGCAGTGAGTGTTCTTTCTACACATTTTAGCAATCCTGTTGCTGTCGGGAACTCCAGGGTTTATATGATTGTGTCTGCATTTCAGTCCACAAAGAAGGTGTAGACCTTGAGCAGTGCCTAAACAAAGATGGTTTATAGTTCTGAAAAAAGGTGTTTTCAAGGAAATATGATCTCTGCAAGAGGTAATAAATACCTCTGTGTTACACCTCATATCAATCTCTTAACTCATGTAAAGTCCACTTTTATCTGAAGGAAAATCTCCAGGTTTTTTGACTGCCTTCATACAGGAAACCTGTGTTGCGAGGCACCTGCAGACTGCCATTGCTGACCTCCTTCTAAAAATGCTTGCTGCCTGGCTGTAATGGGGGTGGGGCCTAGCAAAAATTGGTCTTCAGCACTTTTATGAAATATTGGGCAACATATTTGTGATGGACACGAAGGGTGTGAATGGCGGCCCCTTTATTCCATTTTAGTATATTTATTTAGCTGTGCACACATGATTACCTATTAGCCTGAGTCTGCTGAGCCAAGCTCCCTGACACCTTTCTGGTGGATACTGGTGGTTGAAGTGCTATGTATTACATCAAAGAATATTCGTGTAGTGCAACAGTCTGTTGCACTACACTGTTTGCAAAATACAGCAAGGTGAGCCAGGACAGAGAGGAGAGACAGCCAGGAGAATGAGCAAGGAGAGACAGCCAGGAGAGCGAGGAGAGAGAGCCAGGGAGGGTTTTTTTTTCGTTGGTAGATCTCATATAGCTCGTCATTTGAAAAGTAGATCTTAACACAAAAATTGCACTGCAAGGTTTAACTGCTCGTTTTTTTCCTTTTAAAATGATGAAGTTATACTCATCTGATTCTCCGAGCCAGCCGGCTGTGACAGCCTCCATGCAACCTGTCTCCTCCTCCACTGCTGGGATGGTATGTCTCTGTGTCCTCATGTCCTATACACAGTGTATAGAACATGATGACTCAGGGACCTTAGGCTGCTGCCGTGAAGGATGAGAGAGGCTGGAAGGTCTGGTCTAAGAGCAAGCCGGCTCAGAGGATTGGGCGACTAACTTTTTGACCCTAGGCAAAAATGAGCGCTTAACCCTTCTAGTGATAACATTTTTACCCGGAGTTCTGCTTTCAAAAGTGTGAAGTAGAAAGTCATACAGGGCTGTTTTCTTGCAGTTTATCTTGTATTTAGTAATTGTGGTAAGAATGTAACTATCTGTGTATTTTTCGCACAGAAATGTTCATGTTTTTCTTAGCAATGGGTTTTTTTTTCCACCCAGGTATCATTATCTTTTCCTGTTGTAACTACTGTCATGGGCAGTATCCACATGTAAATGAAGTCACAGCCGTGAATTAGCTTACTTTATAAAAGCAGGCTGAGTTGT